CAGAACCGACATGATTTTACCGCAACACTAATTCACCCCCCCCCCCCCCCCCCCCTTCCTTAGTGTCGACTCATTCCTAACAGTTGGTATCAGAGTCTCGTATTTCTCATTTGGTTTAACACCTAAGAGAAATGACTTTTTCGACTTTTAAGAGGGTCACTCTCTCATTCGTTCTCCCTTGTTCAATGGGACGAACTACATATATTGAAAAACTCGAATGAGAGTTTTCTTGCTTTCGTTGGATTTGAATTTATGGAAAAGATTCTAAAGTCAATCTTTTAATGCTTGATTTTAAACTTTTTCGAATGAAGCCAAGTGAAACTGTTGTTGACATGTACACCCATTTTACGGATGTCGTCAATGAGTTAAAAGCACTTGATAGAAGTTTTTTGGATTTTGAACTCGTTAACAAGATTTTATAATTATTTTCTAAAAATTGGGATTCGAAAATAACGACAATACAAGAATCAAAGAACTTGAACCATTTTCTAATTTAAGAACTTATAGGGTCTTTGATGACCTATAAAATTACGTACAATGCATATGAAGAACTTGAGAATAATCTTCCAAAAAATAAGAAGGATTTTGGACTTAGAACAATTGAAGACTACTTATGCATAAGCTCAAGTGATTGTGAACTTGAACTCCTCATGAAAATTTTAAAACAAGAATAAAAAATTAAAAATTTACTTAAAAAGAAGAAGAAGAAGAAGAAGAAGAAGAAGAAGAAGAAGAAGGTGACTTTAGACGAATCGAGCTCATTCGAAGACAAGAAGAAAATCAATAAAGGCGAGGTAGCAAACTACGCCTTAACAGCATTCGACAATGAGGTAAACAACTCAAACGAAACTCTTTTAATTTATTTCAAAATTATATAATGCTTTTTATGAGTTGTTCTTAAATTAGTTTAGAAAAATTATATTTTTTTTGAATTACATCTTTAATGAAAATGCAAAAATAAAATCGGATCATGCTTACCTTTCTAGTGATTTTAAAAATAATTATAAAAATTACATATTTTATAATAAATAAAAAAATTATTTTTGTTTAAAAATGCCTTATGAAATCATGTTTGATTTGAAGTAATATCATATTTAATGAGTGTATCTTTTGAAATTATGCATGATAATTTTTGCGATTTATGGATTATCGATTTTTACCGTAATGAAAGTGGCTTTTTCGATTTTAAAAAGGATACATGTCTTGATTTGGCATAAATGACAAAGGCATACTTATATAAAATAATATAAGTATGTGATGATTTTATATTTAATTAAGCATGATGATTTGAAGAAATGATGATTTTATATTTTAAAATTATGCATGATAGTCTTTGTGTTCTTTTGAAAGTTCTTTTTTGGTATTAATGAATGATACATGGATTTGGCATAAAAGAAAAGAACATACATGTATGAAATCAATCAATAAGTTAGAAACAAAAAGAGGAAAGCATTTTTCTTGAAAACTTCTCAATCCCTACCTTATCAATTTTTCACTAAGAGATCAATAAAATTATTTATGCCATTTTGAATCTCTTGAAAGAAATATTGAGATTTTGATGGTTTTGACGATTTGAATTTGAATGAGTTTTATCAAAATCATGATTTTGATTCCTTGGTATTTATAAATTAAGCTTTATTATGAATCAAGATCTCTTCTTTGTACTCCTACGA